AAAATGTTAAAGTCTCTATTAACACTATTTACTTTGAATGCAAGAAACCAAGCAACCTCTGAACTTACTGTCCAACCTAAAGAATCACCCAATCAAAGAGAAGGATCAAGAAAAGCCAAAGATTAATAGGGGCAAGCAAAAGACATAAAAAACTTTATGGGCTCTCCACCTTAGAATCTTTAGAATAAAAAGGAGAAGACATAACAAACTTATGTCTTATGTCTAATGATAATCTTGATCAATTAGATAAAGATGAGGAATGTATACATTCCTATGATGAATTGCTCATTATTTCTAAAAATATTCATGATTTGTAAAGAAAGCTATAATAGATGCATGCTAGTCTCAATATTAAATTGTCTACTTTATAAAAAAGCATGCTAGTTTAATTATAGAGCATTCTAATTTAGTTAATGATCACATGACCTCGCTTGACGAATACGATTAAACAAGAAGCATATCGACTTAACTAATGCACACGAATCCTTAAAAATATTGCATATTGAACTAGAGAAAGCAAACAAAGGATTAGAAGCATGTGCAATAGAAATAAGTTGAAAATTTAAATGTCCATTCTAGAAAGTGCAAAAATATTCTTAGAAGAAAACATAATTGGACTTGATAGTAGCAAACCACCACCAACCTTAAAATAATTTCATGAGCCCTCAACATAACATCTATCGCATAAACCTTAGAAGAGGAACCATGACCCCCATTGGTTAGTAAATCCATTTCATATTGCTTGGTGTTACTCCTATGGAATGTTATGTCACATAGCCCGCACCTATAATTTCCATCATTGGACACATCTAGTGTAGAGGCTGAAATTTCATTCATTAAAGTATATCATATTCGTCACTGGGAAAGTGGGAGGCTCAGGTATAATCGTCAATGCTAAAATCTTTATTATTTAAAAAAAATTATTAGTTGATGGATTAAAGCATAATTTACTAAGCATTAGTTAGTTATGCAGTAAAAGTTTTGATATTAAATTTCTTTCTAAAAAATGCATAATTAATTTAAATGAAAAACTTATGTTAAAATGAAAATGAATGAATAATGTTTACTTATTAGACTTGAATTGCATTAAAAATTCTAATTCCATTCCTGACTATATCTTAGGAAACTATATCATGCGAGCATGAAAACTCTTAGAAATATTAACCAAAAAGATCTACTTAAAGGCATACCTAAGTTATACTTCCCTAAGGACCACCTATGTGATGCCTACAAACAAGGGAAATAAGTCAAGTCTTCATTCATTTGATTAAGGACATCAACAACTATAGGCCACTAGAAATCCTTCGTATAGACCTATTTGGACCTATCAATACACCCAACCTAGGAGGAAAGACATATGGATTTATAATAATAGATAACTTCTCTAGATTTACATAGTTTAGATTCCTAACATATAAGAGGGAGTAGTTTGATGAATTTAGAATTTTGTCCAGTTGGATTCAAATGAAATTAGGATGTGAAAATTCAACCATTCATAGAGATTATGGTAGAGAATTTGAATATGATAGGTTTTAATCTTTCTATCAAGAGATAGGTAAAGAATAACTTCTCTATCCCTATGACCCCTTAATAGAATGGAATAGCTCAGTGGAAAAATAAAACATTTGTATAAGCTACTAAGGCAATGCAAGTTGAATACACTCTCTCTATATACTTTTGGGTAGAAGTAGTAAATACTTCTTGTTATGTTCTGAATAGCATGAATGTTAAATCTAAGCTAAATAAGGCACCCTATAATTTCCTTAAGGGCAAGACACCCAATCTTTCCCACTTACATTTCTTTGGATGTAATTGCTTTACCTTGATTAATGGAAAATAACCCTTAGAAAAATTTGATCCAAAATTTGATAAAGGACACTTCTTAGGTTATTCATCTGTAGGGAAGGCCTATAGAATCTTCAATAAGAAGGACTTAATAGTAGAAGAGTCTATCCATGTTATGTTAGACGAATTAGATGGAACCTCTAAATCTAAACCCGAAAAAGAATAAGTAGAGGTCATTAAATGGGTTGAAGCCATTATTATAGTTGATAGAGTAGAACCTTAAGAGCTTTTACTTAAAAATTAGAGATACTATACTAGTCATCGTAATAAATGGATCCTAGGAGACCCATGTGAAGGTGTTAAAATTGGGCATGGCTTAGGAAGGTAGTTAGTCATTCTATATTTATCTCTAAGATAGAACCATCAATATAGATCAAGCCTTATCTAATGAATTTTGGATCCTAACAATACAAGAAGAATTAAATCAATTTGTTTGGAATGATGTTTGGGAGTTGGTTAGTAGGCATAAAGACCAGAGCATAGTAGGAACCAAATGGGTTTTTAAGAATAAAATAAAAGACTTATGCATAGTAGTAAGGAATAAGGCTAAGTTAGTAGTTAAAGGATATAATCAGAGTAAGGGATTGATTTTGAAGATGTACTTGCCTCTATAGCTTGATAAGAAGACATTAGGGTGTTCTTAGCCTTTGCTTGTTTTAAAGGATTTAGACTATACCAAATGGATGTTAATATTACTTTCTTAAATGGGGTAATAAAAGAGGATATATATGTTGAGTAACCCCCAAGTTTTGAGAAATGAAAATTCCTAAATCATGTATTCAAACTAAAGAAGACTATGTATGGGTTGAAGTAAGAACCTAGAGCCTGGTATGAAAGGCTGAGCACATTTCTTCCAATTAGAGCCTTTATTAAAGGTATAGTAAACACCACCGTCTTCCTATAGAAATAAGTAGAAGACTTACTCATAGTGTAAATCTGTATTGAAGATATACAATTTTGATGTAGAAATAAAAATATTTGTGACAAGTACTCAAATATTTTGAGTGATGAGTTTGAGATGAGTATGAAGAAAGAGATGAACTTTTTTCTTGGATTTACTCTAAAGTACATGGAAGATATAACCTTTATTAGCCAATTTAAACATGTTAAAAAAATTCATAAGAAATATGAAATGGACAATATAAAGGCAATAACACTTTCATGACCTCTACCATACAGTTAGATAACGACCCAAATGTAAAGTTTGTAGATCAGAAGAAATACATAAGAATAATTGGATCACTTCTTTACGTGACTGCTACCAAACCAAATATTATTTTTATTGTTTGTCTCTGTATTAAATTTTAGGCTAATTCAAAAGAATCCCACTTGATTGCTATTAAGTGTAATCCATAAATATCACTTAGGAACCAAAAACTTAGGAATTTAGTATCCTAGGCATAAAACTTCCTTTGAAGTCATAGGATATTCTGATTCAAAATTTATAGGTTATAGAATTGATAGGAAAAACACCTCAAAATATACCAATTAATCAGATAATCTTTAGTCTCAAGTTCCAGTAAAAAATAAAATTTTATTTCCATATATACTAATAAAGCAGAATATATAGTTATAGGGAGTTATGTTGTACAAGTCCTATCATTTAAATAACAATTCTTAAAGCTTGAACTACCTGTAGGTACCATTCAAATCATGTGTGATAACACTAATTCCATTTGCATATCAAAGAATCTTATCTTATATTTTTTGGAGCAAACACATAGACATTAGGCACCATTTCATTAGAGACCGTGTGATAAAAGGGGATATAGAGCTACATCATGTAGCTTTATTGTGTTTTTTTTTTTCAAAAAAATAAAAATAAAAAATAAAAAAGCTTATTATTTATCATCACACAGACACACACACTCTTCACTATAAAAAAATAAAAAACTAAATTTTTCCTTATCGCATAGTATGATCCACAATTCGTAATTTTTGATATATCCACTTATGCTTAAATCACATCTATTAGCCACATTAAATGCCCAGAAGTGTTCAATCATTTGTGTTCATACAATATAAACCACCCCTAGTAATATATGAAATAAGTATTAGAATCTGTTAGGACAAATTAAAAGTAGCTAGTATGATCATAATTGCCAATCATATTGAAAGAACACTTGTTTGTACTGTATGATGAATTTAATCAAAAGTTATTTAGATGAAAACTCGGGATGAACAAAATTCCTTAAAATCATCTAATACGATACCGATCATACTATACAATTTGACCTTCTTTTTCTGACAAGTCATCTAGAAGATTTAATTCCCCTCATTATAATGTATGATCTTAATTCATACTATACAATCAACTTCAATTATATAAATTAGAGGGTTTCTAAACTTTCAACCCATTCAAAACTTAGCTTCTCTCAATTCCTTTATTCATATCCTAAAATCCTCTAATGGCCAATGGAAGTAAATGAGGCAGAATGACCTAGGGGAGATCTTCCTCCTCTCATCACTTCAACGATCAATTTTTATATATGAGAGATTAAGATACTAAAAATTTAAGGAGGCTCAAATCACCCCATCTAGAAGGTTAAATCATCCTGCTCACAAGTACGAGGTGATGAACCTCTTTCCCTCTACTACTTTGTAGTTCCTATTCACATTAGCGTTTCCTTTCAATTCTGAACTACTCTACGAATTCCTAGCCAACCTTAGGCTAAATATGGAAACATTCACCATGACCTCATATTTGTGACAAAAACCGATAAAAATCATTAAGGAAGATTTAGCGGAGCATATCAATCTTTCAACTAGTGGACTTCATCCATAATTTGTTATCTGTATAACTTATTTTGACATGAGTTATATAAACTTGAGTATCTTAAATGTGTCCATAAATCAACATCTACCCTTAGTCTACTCCATCAATTAGGATTTGGTGTCTACATCACTCCAATTACTTCCATAGTCACCTTTCTATAATATCCAATACCCTAGTTAATGAAGAAAAAATGATTATTGATTATATCCAAAATTTGACTCCTATTTGACATCCCAATACTAGATGAAAGAAAATTGTCACTTTAGGACATGCCATATGTTATGCCTTAGATAAGTAATTCCAAACCAAGTAACCTACTCCTCCCTATTATCTTCCATTTTTCTATACGGATGTTACCTTCCTTATTATTTTCCATCAGGGGCTTGAGCATGACAAGCTAGATTTATTTGAAGAAAAGGAAGCTTCTTTTGCAGGTGGAACTGCACCGCCACCAATACCATCACCTTTAGCTTCCTGCCCTTCCTACCATCATGATGAGATAATCCAGTGACTCGCGAAGGGAAATCAGACTAGACTATCATATTAAATAAGAACAACAATAAAGAGGAAGATATGGGATGGTTTAGAAAAAGTTTTTCCAAATTAAAGATCATTTCACCTCTATCCATAAATACATTCAACAACCTCCAACACCACCACCTAATCAGGATCCATCTTATTTTTAGTGATTATTTGTTTTATTTTACTATTTTAATTTCTTGCAATATTCACCTTTCCCATTGTTCCTCCACTTTTTATTTATTGAGTCTGACCACAATAGAGTGTATGTAACAGGGTGATCATGCACACACACATAAGGGGAGTGAGTGAAATTTAAAGTTAAAAGTTTTTTTATACTAATAATATTGTACAACTTATAATCCTATTATCGGATTTGTTATCGATGTAATAAGCTTGATGGCCAATTGAAAATTTAGTTTTTATGAACTAATCATGCTATATGATCTTGATAATTACTATAGGAAAATATCGTATTATCGATAGATTTTCTTATAAAATTTTTTTAATTTTATGATGCATTTCTAAATTTTCTAGTTAATTTTTTGTGAAAACATTTGAAACAGTAAATTGAGGGTTAAAAAAATTTTATAAAAAAAGTGTTGGAATTAGTTTGCTAGAAATATTTTTTAGTAGCTGTCCAGCTGAAAAACTCGGTCAAAATAACAAAGAAAGAACTTTAAAAAATAAAGTCTGTCCGAGCTATCTTGCTTGCATAAGCATGGCTCTGCCTAGCGCCCATGAATAATTACATTAAAAATTAATAATAATAATTTATAAAATTACTAATCAATAAAAATAAATTATTAAATTTAAAATTAATTAAAGCAAAATTTACATACATACCCCTTTTTTCCATCTTATTTACATGTCTAACACCCAAAATTTTATTATTACATATATATCACCCAATATTATTTTAATATCAAATATACCACTCATATTTCTTTCCTACCACTCATATATTTCATTTCTACCACTCATATTCAATACGAAAATGAACTATGAGTGGTATATATGTAATATTTTTAGGTGTTAAATATGTAAATAGAGTAGTATATGGTGGTATGTATGTAAATCTCTCTTAACTAAAATAAGCTATAGATTTGTTAATTATGAATATATATATATATTTTAAAAATGTTAAATCAGCTAGAAAAGTCATCAAAAAATCTGCTAGAAAAAAATCCAAAAGAAATCTATCATAAAAATTCCATAAAACTTGCTTGCAAATTAGTCATACATATTTCATCATAATTCATCATAAATCCAATGGAAAATCTACTAGAAAATATTTCGTTGGAAAGCATCGAAAAAATCTCTAGTAATGAGCGATTTTTTTGTAGTGAATATTATATGATTCATTATGATCTAAAAACCTCACTGCCATATAGATTATTTAAGAAATTTAAAGTTTGCGGGTGGTGGCTGGAAGTAGTTGTGAGTTGTGGTCACTAAAGCCATTACTCACAATAGCTCTTTATGTTCTGGCAATTTTGAGGTGATTCTAGGGTTCTTGCTCGGTCGACATTTTTCTTCATCATATATTATTATTTTTGGCTGGCTTTGCTTGGTTCTTTTGTTCATTCTCTATTTCCAATTTTGTTTCATGGTTTTATTTTGATTCCTTTAGCTTTCTCTATGGTTTTGGGCAATGAAAATGCCGTCATCATTGAACCCTTGCCTCATTACGAATGTAGAAGGTAAGTCTCACCTTTTTAAAGAGGTTTTTGTGGCTGGTGCTTCATCCTCTCACTCTAAGATTTATTTTATTCATGTTTCTTTCAAAGGTTTACCAGCTTTAATGCTTGATGATAAAGTAGTTTCTAATATTGCCCCTTCTTTCACCTTTATTCTTGTGGGGAATCTTGTTTTATGTTTGCCTAATATGGATATCATCTACAATATTTTTATGAACCTCAAACTCTTAGGAACTTTTTATATTTGATTGATAGACCAATGCCATGTTGCTATGAAACTTTTAAACGATTTAGATTAAAGTGATAATTTTTTAAGAAGAGCATATTATATTCAAAGTTCCCACATGTATTTGCTTAAATGGACTCCTAATTTTGATGTTAAAGAGGAATTTCCTATAGCCCCTGTTTGGATTTTATTTCAAAATTTTAGGTTTCATTTCTTTAATTACCAAATCAATTTTACATTAGCTTGAATATTTGGTAGACCATTACAAAGTGATCAAGCTACCATGTCTATATCTAAGCTGTGGGTTAACTTGGTTATGGTTGAAATGGATATTTTTTCAAGAAACATCCCAAGGAACATGAATTGGTTATGAGCTCAAAGGTTACCAATAAAAAGTCAAATTTAAAAATTTTCATATATTTTGGGGTTATTGTGAAATGCATGATCATGATATTTCTAAATTCTTTAAATTACATCCTAATTTTTGTCAGCATAAAGAAACATCTAAAGATCTGTGAGTTAGTGATTATTCTTCTTCTTAAACTTTTGGGTGAGGTGGCTGTTAAAAGTTTTCAATTTTTTATATAGACTCCATTTGTTTTGGATTTTAATTTACTGATGCTGATGTGGATTTGTGCTTGGATTTTCATCTAATTATTTTTTGGTTATATTTATGCCATGCTTGTTTCACCTATCAACATTTTTTGCAGGAATGTTTTTAGTGTTGATGTTCAACTTGGAGACAATTGGGTACGGATCATGGAGCTTCTTGATATTTTTTATTTTCTTCCTCCTTTTTGGGTGCTCTTTCTTGGGCATCATAGATTTTACCTAGGTGTACTTGTAATTATGAGTTGAAGTGAACTCGAGTTCTTAGAAATTTTTGCTTTAATTTTTGTAGCTCTTTTGAGCCTTAGCGAGCTTGATGTCCCTTTAAAGACTATGTAATCATTTTTTTAATTAACACACAGGCCCCTCTAAGGGTTTTTCCTATATATAATATTATTGATATAACCCCCCTGAGATCCATATGGGTGGAGGGATTGGTGATCTTGAACCTGTGGCCTCGTCGGTGGTTAATGTGGGAGATACAAATATTATTGAGGTGGTTAATCCCTCAAGTCTATCCATCAAGGTTGGAGGAATTATTGATCCTCCTTCAGGTATTGTTGGCTTTAATTTTCTAGTCTTTAACATTAGTGGTAATGCGGATGAGTAGTTGATGGATTCCGATATGGATGAATTAATGGATGTTATGGTCACTGAACATAAAAATATGCTTACTATTTTGCAACTACCTAGTTCAACAGATAATAGCTTCGTTGAAAGTGGTTTTGATTTAAAAATCAAAGAATCATTAATCATAAGGTTAATTTTGTATATATTTCTCATGCACATTAAATTGGAGAAAATTTTTTTTGAAGAAGGAGAACTTATACAAGGGGATATTAAATAGGGTACTATTAATTTTGGTTCTAATGCAAAAAAGGGTTGTAAGGATTCTCAAACTCTACCTAAAAATTTTGTTTCTTTGACTGTTCATGAAAATCCAGTAGATAATAATAATGAATTGGTGAGGAGGAGAGTGAATTTCATTCAGTTTAATCTAGAAAGATCATGAAATACATAAATATTATGCTTAAATCCCCTAGAGCAACCCGGTCACAATTTTCTCATTTAAATCCTCATGATTAAGTCTTTTACTTGGAATGTTAGGGATATTGGTTGCCCTTCTATGAGGGTTAGAGTGAAGAACTTATGTCGTATTCAATATGTTTTCATTCTTATTTTGGTTGACACTTTTATTTCTAATGTTATACTGGATAGTACAACTAAGTTTTGGGTTTTAATCATCTTATCGATAATATTTCTAATATGATTTGGGTTCTTTGGTACGAAAATTTTTTAACTTTATTTCCTCCCTAGTTGAAAGACTTTGGGGGTCAAATGCTATTTATTAATCTATGGAAGGCTTTAATAAGATAATTTTTTATTGTAAACTTATTTATATTGGTTATACTGGTAGAAATTTTACTTTATAGTAATCTTTTGCAAAGGTTGGATTGTGTTCTATTTAATGATAATTAGATTAATAATTTTACTTCTACCCATGTTGAACATTTTATTACAACTCTTTCTTATCATTCCCCTAAACTTATTTTTATTGGGCTTAGAAATGCATCTCCACCTTTAACTTCAATTTTGAAAACATGTGACTTCTTGATCACTCTTTCATTAATATGGTGTAGGAGAATTTGCAAGCTGCTCTTCACCTCAATAACTCTATTTTAGGTATGAATAGATTGTGGCCTAAGTTGAAGACACTTAAGCAAAAAAAATAATTGGTGGAATTAGAATGTGTTTAAAAATGTTATTACAAACATTGTTTTCGTTGAAGAAAAATTTACCTCTTTGCAGTAGATTTTGAAAAACCAACATTTTGATGCTAATTTTACTACACTTAAACATACTGAAGTGATATAGGTAATCTGCATAACTAGGAAGAAGCTTATTGGAAGCACAAAGCGGCCACTAAGCATCTTATTGATGAGGATAATAACACTATGTATTTTCATCCCATAGTTAAAAGGAATATATTTAATAATTAGATTAATAAATTGCTCGTGGTAATGATTCATTCTTTGAATATATTGGATAGATTGCCAATATTGGTGTGGAATTTTTTAAAAATTTGTTTAATAATAATTTTATTACCATTCCCATTGCTAGTCTTGATATAATTCTACATATCATTAGCTAGAATGAAAATTTGTCTATTATTATTCCCCCTACTTTAGAGGAAATTAAGAACACTGTGTTTGATTTGAATTCCAATTCTTTTGGTGGTCTTGATGGTTATAAGACTAAATTCTTCCAAAAAGCCTGGGACATGGTGAGCTTTCAAATTTTAATATTATTTTAGACTTATTTTCTTGTAACCCTATGCCTAAGTTTTTTTCTTCCTCCTCCACTGTGTATATTGATAAAAATAATGGGGCTTCTTATTGAAAAGATTTTAGAACAATTCGTTTTTGTACATTTTTAGTAAGGTGATTTCTAAAATGT